GTCAATTCTAGTATGATGATCGTTCTGGCTGAAGTATATTTAGGAGTGTTTCTGAAATAAGATGGCATGATGTTTCAACTCACTTTTCGTCAAAGTAAAGTTCGTTAAGCTCCTCTTGATCGTCAGTAGAAGTCACTTTTACAAGGTCACGGCCAAGTTTTTGACAGAGATGGCGAACATCGTCGTAGGTGGCTTTCTCAGCTATGTGGAGGTACTTGGTAGCTGAAAGAAGAAAAGTCTTTTCAATATATACACACACGCGCGCGCCCGGACGCACACACATATACATGTATATATGTATATAACCACGCACTCGTATTAGTGTCAGTTCCGGTGATCACTGGATTGTGTGGTCCAGACTCGACTATATATATATAGATAGATAGATAGATAGATATAGATATAATACGCGGTAGGAAACTTGTATATTTTATAGTTTCGGTAGGGTTCTCGTATGATGACTGTGTAAAAGTCTAGAAAAGATGATTATATTCACACAATTTGAATCGAGGTGAAGTGGCCTCAGTGAGAAGGTCCCTGACCTGCATCAATACAACAGGTGGAAAGTCACCTTCTTCTAAAAAGACATTTAATTGTGATACACTGAGTACTTTGTGTAGTATTCCATATCCGGAACTCACAAAACACACACACACACACTCTCTCTCTCTCTCTCTCTCTCTCTCTCTCTCTCTCTCTCTCTCTCTCTCTCTCTCTCTCTCTCTCTCTCTCTCTCTCTCTCTCTCTCTCTCTCTCTCTCTCTCTCTCTCTCTCTCTCACACACACACACACACACACACACACACACACATACATACATATTATCAACTTTTGTTTGGATATGTAATCATAATTTTCATCTACCACAGGAAGAGGGATAAAGAACAACAACCTACGTCATGAATGTCTTCACTGCTGATTCGTTCTGACTTGTGATGCCATCAATATTTTAGATCATCATTAATTAAGGATCTTTTTAGAAGTATCAGTTCTCTTTTAGGTATTGACTTTTTAATGGAAATTGATTTAAATGAATAAAGTTTGATGTATATAAGTTACAGTCAATGTCTATAATCAGGCAATGTGTACAATGACTGAAATAACCAGTCACTGTGTACATTGTCTAAAATTTTCACGCATTGTGTACTTTGATTAATTAACCCAATTATGGTACAGATGGACTGATTGTTGAACAAACAAAATCCACACCTAACGGCATCAGGTGGTAAGGCTCGCTGACTTGGTTGACACATGTCATCGGTTCCCAATTGCGCAGATCGATGCTCATGCTGTTGATCACTGGATTGTCTGGTCCAGACTCGATTATTTACAGACCGCCGCCATATGGCTGGAATATTGCTGAGTGCGGCGTAGAAATAAACTCACTCACTCACTCACTTACTTACTTCGACAAATGTGGATGTTGCGGTATCGCATCAAGTGGTACTAACATACCTGTGACGCGTAGCCATTTGTAATCGTTCATGATATTTTAACGTTTCCTTAAGTATAATCTTAATGGATATTTATTTCATAAGAATACGGATACGATAACACTCGTTGCATCATGCTTTTTAACGCATCTTTGAGAAATAATCCAGATAAAACTGAAAGTAATCTTTGAACTTACAAAGATGTACAAAACCCATTCAATATTCATAGAAAATCTGTTACAATCTGCTAAAACATTTGTTATTATTATCGAAGAACAAGGGGTATGATTTATGCACAACGCTAGTGGTTCACATGATACTCCGAGTTTCCCACGTTATGACAAAGCTTATCATTGTGTCCGCGGGCGGCAGGGTAGCTTAGTGGTTAAGGTGTTCGCTCGTCACGTCGAAGACCCGGGTTCGATTCCCAACACGGGTACAATGTGTGAAGCCCATTTCTGGTGTCCCCCATTTCTGGTACTGGAATATTGCTAAAAGCAGCGTAAAACAAACCTCACTCACTCACTCAAAAAAGAAGAAGAAGAAAGAAACGCATAGGTGATTTTGAGAACATTGGACTCATGAAGCTGCGGCAAAAACAATACAAACATACTATTTCTTTCCAAAACGTCATCTTTGTTTGATTGTCACGGCAATTTTAACTTTTTCCTTTGTTTTAGAAGCGTTTGAAGAAATATTCGCCAAAACGTAACCAAGAAAAGCAAAGCAAAGCAAAATGCACGTGCAATTAAGCGGAACAGCATGAAAAGGCAAACGTTGTGCTTAAGTTTGTATTTCGTATTTGCCTGGAAAATCATCATGCCACGACTGAGTGCCGCCAATCGAAACATAGGCCGCCTTGATGCTAGGGAGTCTCAGTCCTCAGTTGCCCGACATTTCCACGTTCACCAGAGCACCATATCTCGCCTGTGGGATCGTTTCCTGCAGACCAATTTCGCCCCAAATCCCCGAGAAGCGGCCGTCCCATTAACATTTTCAGGTAAAGTCGATTTTTTACTTGTGCAATTGTGTAAAAACATGTTATCAACACTTTTGTTACATATTTTGACAATTGTTTGAACACAATAGGTAATTAATAGATTTTAAAAAATACAAAACGTCTATGCGTTTCTTTTTTGGGATAGTATATATAGCTAAATATTTTATAAATTGGTAGGATATGACTCAACCTGGGCTGAAGTAAAATTATTGTCCCCCCGAAAAGGTATGCAAGTCCATATCTCTCCAGTATTTATATATCTACTAGTTTTTAATCGTAGTATATATTATTATGTTAGTTTAATTTATGGCTAGATTGGTGTAAAATTGCCAGTCTCTGAAGGGATGGTGTAAATCCAGCTTGGGTCCATGCAGGACTCGATCATGCATTCCACAGAGTATGAGTATGAAGTGCCTGTGGCCTTCATCAACCGGCTAATTCATTCCATGTACAGACGATGCAACGCCGTCATTGATGCCCATGGAGGCTACTCACGATATTGACTTTGAAGGCATCCCAATGGTGCCATTTTTGGTGAGTTTGTTTGTGTGAACTCTAAATGTGATTCCCGAAAATGTGAAATGTGTTAACCATAATTGGCAAGTTTGAACCTCCGTTTTGATTGTTGATTACAGCGAATTAAAGTGTGTGCTTTAAGAAATCTCTATCGGTTTGGCGTTTCTTTTGCAGTTGAGTATATATATATTATTGTAGACCACATTTCCAAGTTATATCGAAAGAAAATAATGTGGAATTTGTGTGAATTGTGAATTCAAACAAAAGTGATAAATATTCGTGATGCCATGATTTGGTTTTAAGTATGTTTATATTCAGAACCAGTTGTATGACTGAATAATATGTTTATTACTTCAAACAAATGTGGAACTTGCGGTATCGCATCACAATAAAATTAGAAAAAATACATGAAAAATAGGGGACATCAAATGATGGTCGACGTTTTTCGTATTTGTCAACCATCGGTGGGGGCATTATTTGACGTAAATAACGCCATAGGCGGTATTGCGGCAGGACCATCATTGTTATAAACAATATTTTTAGCATAGTCAAACATTTTAAATATACAGCACAAAATACTTCATTCCAAAAGCCTGAAAAATTTACTTGAAACTAAGCCCAAACATATATCACAATTGAATAAGTATAACATTACCATCAGGTTCATCCGGCCCACAGACGGCAGCACTCAACAAATCTGTGACACCACTTCTTATCCCATACTCTGATTACAAAGCTAGCATTAGAACTTACATCCGTGATCTGATGCAGAATAAGTGGGACACCCAGTTAGGTATCAATAAATTACATGCAATAAAACCCTACATCGGTTAAACCTACTTGGGTTGTCAGTCCAGATTTGAAGAGGTCAATATGCGACGATGTCGAAATGGCCATAATAGATTTACTCACGAATATTTATTGAAAGGCGAAGATCCTCCGTTTTGTATCCCTTGTGATGAGAGAATCACGGTCAAGCATATTTTGAAGTATATAGCGACAGCCCAGCAAGGTCGAGGCAACATTTGAAATTCCCTTTGTCGTGCACATGACATGTTCGGAGTTGCAACAAGTATTGTGGCACTAGCTTTTAACGTTTCACAGTATGCAGTTAGCAGATTTACAATTACCGTATCGAAAGATAAATAACGTTGATGACATACGTCGATCAGGTTGACGAAGGGGATCGGGTGGTCAGACTCGCTGACTTGGTTGACACGTCATCGTATCTCAATTGCGTAGATCGATGTTCATGGTGTTGATCACTGGATTGTCTTGTCCCGAATCGATTATTAGCTGGAATACTGCTGGGTGTGGCGTTAAACAACAATCAATCAATCAAAACCATACCCCTGATTGAATTTAAGAAAGGATGCCCTGAAAACAATATGAAGGTTCCCCGTAATGTTAGACGAAAATATCCCCAGTGAAGCGAAGTAGACCCAGTGTTTCAGATTAAACTAGTTGATTAGTTACATATCAATACGAGTTTGAAACCTTTCTGTATTTACATTACATGCGTGTGTATGTGTGGCTGCTTGTACTAGCCCAGACTCAAGCTAATTTTATAGTGCTAGCCCACTGAGATACCATGCCGCAGTGAAGCATGAATACCCCACTCAGACTCATTATACTGACTCCGAGCCGACCAGTCCTTGTACCTATTAATGCCGAGCGCCAGACAGGGACCAACAAGTACCATACTTTAACGTCTTTTGGTATGACGCGGCCTGGCATGAAGGTAAATGTGACTGTGATGTTGATGATAACGACGATGACAACAACAACGACGACGAGACAGTGGGATGCTGAGGTTAATGATATTAGTCACGAGAACAACAATGGCGATGCGATGATGAAGGTGAATGTGATGTTGATGATGTTAATGACAATGATGATGAAAATTATAACGACAACGGTTATGGTGTATCGATTATAAGGGACGTGTGTAGTGTGTACATGATCCCAGCCTGCAACATATTGGCCGGTAGTTAAAGGCGAAACCGACTCCCGGATATGGCGAGGATATAATCTGGCATATACAAGCGGCGGGACCATGTGACAGCTGTGACGGCCGTGACGTTTGAGCGGCCACACAGACACAGGTAGTTGGTGATGTTGACGTGAAGCGCTGACAGTCGGTATCACTGCAGGTAAGTATACTTTTACACATCCAACTTTCGTGAGTTTACCTTTGAGTGTATATCGCCGGTATGTCGATCCGTGCTCAGCGTACATACACATCCCCGAGTACCCGTGAAAATCCGGGTAAGAATTGGTCTTCAGTAACCCATGCTTGTCGTAAAAGGGCGACCAACGGGATCGGGTGGTCAGACTCACTGATTTGGTTGACACATGTCAAATCCAAATTGCGTAGATTGATGATCGTGCTGCTGATCACTGGATTGTCTGGTCTAGACTTGATTATTTACAGACCGCTGCCATATTGCTGGAATATTGCTGATAACGGTATTAAACAACAAACCAACCAACATCTTTATTATTATAACATGACAACAAGTAACAGAATTATGAGCATCTGTATTATTTATGATGACCAACTTTATCATTTATACACTCACATTCCGTCCGTGTATGTTGTTACCGCTTCGTCAGGCAAAGGGCAAAGCGTTACAATGGTAATAGTTTGTCAAGTTATCTGCCTTATATTATTGATGACGCAGATGAAAAGGTTAGATAGAGTCAATACAGCCTGATCAAATCATATTTAAAGTCACTACCAATGCTGTCTATCTCATTCGTACCTAACCCAGTTACAACATATGACTGCAGGAATTTATTAATAAAATGCCACATAAAAAGGTGAACTGTTAATTGTATCATTTACATAATGAACCAGCTGAAGAGAGTTGTATTTCATTACATAATCAGAGCGTTGATTAACCAGTTCCAGATAAAGAGAGTAACATGGATGTACAACATGTACAGGGAAATGATAGAGTGGCGCCAATATCCATAACTCTATGTAGTTATTTCACCCAGTAATCACAAAGCAGGACCATGCTTACCAAACCTGTCCTGACGGATTAAGTAAATAATTATTGATAGTAGTTGTAGCGGCGGTGCGGTGGGGTAGCCTTATGCCTAAAGCGTTCGAAGACCCGGGCTCGATTCCCCACATGGGTACAATGTGTGAAGCCCATTTCCAGTGATTCCCCACATGGGTACAATGTGTGAAGCCCATTTCCAATGTTCCCCGCCGTGATATTGCTAAAATATTGTTAAAAGCGGCGTAAAACTAAACTCGCTCACTCGCTAGTTGTATAGTGGTTGCAGGCTGTAAATCCGTCTTACACACGGAACACGGGGTCCCTACCATCTGATAGTCAGAACAGAACTGAATGACATACACATCTGACGTATACATCCATCTGACGTATACATCCATCTGACGTATACATCCAACGCTGACCAATGGTCATTGCTATATAATATACGTCAGAAAAGCGCAGATCATCAGGTATTGAAGAGGTAAAAAATGGACAAGATAATTGTGTGTAAATCATGACTTGTCACCCCAATCATGTTTGAATCAAAACTTCTCAACCCAAATCATATCTTAATTTAAGACTTGTGAACCCAAATCATGTGTAAATCAAGACCTGTCAGCCTAATTCGAATGTAAATCAAGACCCGTCAACCCCAATCATATGTAAATCAAGATTTGTCCACCCAAATTATGTGTAAATAGAGACTTGTCAACCCAAATCATGTGTCAATCATGAGATGTCAACCCAAATCATACCTTGATTTAAGACTTGTAAACTCAATTCATGTGTCAGCCTAATTCGAGTGTAAATCAAGACCTGTCAGCCTAATTCATGTGTAAATAGAGACTTGTCAACCCAAATCATGTGTAAATCAAGACCTGTCAACCTCATTCATGTGTAAATCAAGACCTGTCAGCCTAATTCATGTGTAAATAGAGACTTGTCAACCCAAATCATGTGTAAATCAAGACTTGGCAGCCCAAATCATGGCGAATTCAAGATTTGTGGACACAAATCATGTGTAATTGAAGACATTTTGTTATGCAGGTAAATAATGGGCCAGGCAATATTCCTTGTTGGACTAGACTTGTCAGCTAAAACCCTGTTTAATTATAGACGGAACCCGGTTTATATCACTATTGCTACACTGGTCCCAAGACTTCTCAACGCACATCCTGCTATGTCCCAGTGAGACACAATGACAGCTGTTCGTCGCCTGTTCCTCTGCGCGTGCAGGGTGCCTCGCCCCCTGGTGGCAATTGCGATAGTGGTGACAATACTGATAGCATACCTCTCTACAACAGGCAAGTATGTTAATCACGGTTAATGTAGGTTACAGAGAGCTCTCTCCTTATCCCTAGGATTTCCTTTCCGATCATGCGCCTTTTGCGAGTATTATGGTTATGTACAGCGTTCCGACCAAGCACCCCACTTGCCGATCAAAATAAAACTTGCGATATTTTGGTGTGGGCCCCACTTATAGATCAAACACCCCCTTACGAATCTTTGTGTCCAGCCCCCCTTGCCGATCAAACACCCCCTTACTATTCTTTGTGTCCAGCCCCCCTTGCCGATCAAACACCCCTTGCCGATCAAACACCCCTTACTATTCTTTGTGTCCAGCTCCCCTTGCCGATCAAACACCCCTTACGAATCTTTGTGTCCAGCTCCCCTTGCCGATCAAACACCCCTTACTATTCTTTGTGTCCAGCTCCCCTTGCCGATCAAACACCCTCTTACTAATCTTTGTGTCCAGCTCCCCTTGCCGATCAAACACCCCTTACTATTCTTTCTTTGTGTCCAGCTCCCCTTGCCGATCAAACACCCCCTTACTATTCTTTGTGTCCAGCTCCCCTTGCCGATCAAACACCCTCTTACTATTCTTTGTGTCCAGCTCCCCTTGCCGATCAAACACCCCTTACTATTCTTTGTGTCCAGCTCCCCTTGCCGATCAAACACCCCTTACTATTCTTTCTTTGTGTCCAGCTCCACCCTTGCCGATCAAACACCCCTTACTATTCTTTGTGTCCAGCTCCCTTGCCGATCAAACACCCCCTATTCTTTGTGTCCAGCTCCCCTTGCCGATCAAACACACCCTTAGCTCCCCTTGCCGATCAAACACCCCTTACTATTCTTTTGTCCCTCCAGCTCCTTTGCCGATCAAACACCCACTTACTATTCTTTGTGTCCAGCTCCCTTGCCGATCAAACACCCTCTTACTATTCTTTGTCAAACACCCCTTACTATCCGAGCTCCTTTGTGGCCAGCTTTGCCGATCAAACACCCCTTACTACTAGCTTCTTTGTGTCCAGCTCCTTGCCGCCGATCAAACACCCCTTACTATTCTTTGTGTCCAGCTCCCCTTGGCGATCAAACAACCCCTTACTATTCTTTGTGTCCACTATTCTTTGTGTCCAGCTCCCTTGCCGATCAAACACCCTCTTACTATTCTTTGTGTCCAGCTCCACCCCTCTTACTATTCTTTGTGTCCAGCTCCCTTGCCGATCAAACACCACCTTACTATTCTCTTTGTCCAGCTCACCTTCTCAAACACCACCTTACTATTCTTTGTGTCCAGCTCCCCTTGCTCCCCCCTTACTATTCTTTGTGTCCGATCAAACACCCTCTTACTATTCTTTGTGGCCATTCTCAAACACCCTCTTACCATTCTTTGTGTCCAGCTCCCTTGCCGATCAAACACCCTCTTACTATTCTTTGTGTGTCCATCAAACACCCTCTTACTAATCTTTGTGTCTCCCTTGATCAAACACCCTCTCTACTATTCTCTTTGAGCTCCCTGCCGATCAAACACCCCCTTACTATTCTTTGTGTCCATCTCCCCTTGGCGATCAAACACCCACTTACTATTCTCTGTGTTAATCACAGGGGCGATGGGGTAGCCTAATGTTTAAAGCTTTCGCTCGTCACGCCGAAGACCCGGGTTCTTCACATAGGTACAATGCGTGAAGCCCATATTTTCTGTCCCCCGCCGTGATATTGTTGGGATATTGTTAAAAGCGGCGTAAAACCATACTCACTCACTCTCTCTTAGCAATTATATCCAATGCAGTTTAAGGAAACTCCGAATATTTGTATTTTTTATCAATTTTCGAGTTTCGCGGAGTAACAAATTACTCCGATTCATTGCTTTAATGCTTCATGGCTTTGCCTGAAATGTTCGTATATCGTTCTCAAATACCACTATCAGTCATGTTTGCCAGCTGTTACAACACTGACCATTTATGTGCTTTGAAAACAAACAGGACGCCACAAAACAACGGTATGGTTATAAATTACATGATTTGACATATTGCCGATACATTTTTACGAGCGTTACAAATGTGCTACTGGAAATGGACATTGTTAACCATGAAGGGAACCTACCAGGGGGGCGATATATGAGCCTTTCTGAAGAATATTGAACAGAAAGCATATACTAGGTTTATAATGGGGGGCTATTGTGGCATGAAAAGTGATACTGTTCAATTGATTTGTTTTGCGAAATAACACGCGAGCACAAACATTCGTCTTACCCGAGACTCCATAACAAAACAGCCTCAGGCACTGTTTCACAAAGCGATGTAAACTCGACGACTTTTATAATATATATCAGTGATACATTATACGCTTTGCGAAAGGATATACTGACAATATTGATTTTGTACATTCAGTGCAGTTTGTTGCCGATACTAGTACCTTACCTGGTGTAGGAGTGCCGTGACCTACTAACGGGCCCTAATACCTGGGTTGGGAGGGTATAGGATCAAACAATCAGGAATCGGCTGTGAGAGGTGAGAATTAAACACCGAAGAATTATAATCATGATAGAATTGGGACGTTTTTATGGCTAACAACGTATGCAATGAAGCAAGGCCGTACATTCATGGTCTCTGAGAAACCGGCGACTGGTCTGGTTAGGTGATACACGATTTCTTCTCCAACGACGAAAGACAGCCTGCCTACCGATGCCGAAATATACGTTTGGCACCGAACTGCGTTCGATGGGTCGGAGATTGTGTGAGGAGCCATATCCTACACACTGAGATCTTATATTTACTATGTGGTGGTTCAGGGTGATCTGGGTGCAAAACCGTACGCTGACCAAATTCTTCAACCTCCCCTTCTTCCGATTATCCACCGACAGAGGGAGTTGTTTCAACATGACAGTCCTGCACCACACACACCTCGTGTCACTGTTGACTTCTTTCATAATTCAAACGTCATTGTCTTGCCATGACTTTCCTGTTCTCCAGATCTGACCCCGATAGAGCAGTTTGGAGATAAACTCGATAGACGGGTACGTCAACGTCAAAATACACGACAGAGACCTGCTGTTGCAGGAAGAATGGAGGAGAATTCCACAGGACGGAATCCGTAGACTTATTCAGTCTGTTGCAAGGAGATGTATTTATAATACCCGTCGGTGGTCACCCCAGGTACTGATGCGAACACCCCAGGTATTGATCCGAACGCCCCGGGTACTGACCCGAACGCCCCAAATACAGCTCCGAACACCCCAGGTACTGATCCGAACGCCCCGGGTACTGATCCGAACTTCCCTGGTACTAATCCGAACACCCCAGATACTGATCCGAACGCCCTGGGTACTGATACGAACACCCCAGATACTGATCCGAACGCCCTGGGTACTGATACGAACACCCACAGGGACATGTGCCTATAACTGTAACATGACGTAATGCTGAAGGGGTGGAGAGGCTTGTATTATCTTGATGGATGAAAAAGTATAAACTGGACTCTATAATTCTAGAGTACCAAAATACTACTAAATGAAAATAGTGTGTTTGACGTGATATAACCTGTCGATGTACAATTTTGTTTAAGATTATAGGAAATATAATCATGTAAAGAGAACTTTGGCTTAATGGTCTAGAAGCCAAACCCCCCAAATGGTGAAAATGTGGTGCAGTTCTGGCGACCAAACGGGATGTGATTTTTCACAATCAGGAATGATTTAGCTTTGATTTAAAGCCGGTTGTCATCAGCTACCATGCGTGACTACCGTACAGAGGCCCTTTTAAGGTGCAACATGTCATGTCAGTTATGGCAATATTTTAACCGATAACTGGGTGGTTTAATTTAATAACTTTGTTTTGGAGTGACTGATTTTCATCAAAATAGTAGTTTTGGAATGCTCAGATCATGATTGAAAATTGTGGACAATAATATTACATATATGTTCATCGCAAAAATATTTTGGTAAGGTCAAAGGTCAATTTTAATAGAAAGGGAATTTGATGAGAAAATATGAGTTGAACTTTACAAATCAAAGGTAATTGTTTCCAAAATTATGTTTTCTAATTCAGCTATATCATTTGAAGATCATATATACCTTTGGTTTGCACTGTATGCATGAAAAAAACATTACAAGGAAACAAAAGTTGGTACTTTGTATCTAGATCAGCAAAATATTATATAATGTCTGTTCAACAGTAACAGCTCCATGCTTTACATAGTCAACGATACCAAATATGTCGATAATACTGTCGGACTATCTCTAAAATCACACAACATAACAGAAAACTCTTAAATGTAAAATTCTATTATTCCAGATGTCTTTCTTTGCTCATCAAAGAATGATGAGTCAGCCATGTCATCATAACTCAAGCAACATTTCCTTCATATCAATTCGTGTCTATTGTTCCTAATAGTCATAGTGTATTCCTAGTTGACATGGTAGCCAATGTCAACAATGTCAAGATCACGGGAACATGTTTCAAGTCCACATCCACATGCCGAAGTACACAACAGGTTCAACCTCTTTGACACCTTCCTGTACATTGACTTTAACATGCACAGTTATGAAGTTGAAGAAGGTCCACGGAAACCATTTAGTCTTAACTTATTTGCAACTTTATCAATTTTACAAATTTAAGGTAATTTTACCAAAATTATGTTTTTATAATTCAGCTATATCATTTGAAGATCATACATATCTTTGGTTGGCACTGCATGCATGAAACTCAACAATTCAACTGATGTCAGAAGGAGATATGTTTTGATAAGTGTCAATATTGTTAATATATGTGTCACTTCACGCTCCAGCTGCAATGACATGCCGTGAAACCCTTACAGTTGATGGATAATAGTATGACATCCTAATGAAAGGTTTACAAGTGACATTATGGTGTTCCATTTTTTTCTGTTTACAATGTGAAATATTACGACTTTGGTTTTATTTATTTATTTTACACCATCAAAAGATATCACACACTGATCAGAAAGGCGTTATGGTATCTTACCACCAAATGTACACACCCGTCATATACCTCTGAAATACACA